GTGCCTCATTGCTGTATGCGGGTGATAAACTCTCTGTAGAACAATTTTGTCAGCCACCAATTCCTCTGTATAAGGGTTTTCTCTCCATGATATTATGGGTTCTATGGTATTAAATTCTTTGAACAACCATTTTTCTGGTCCCTTCAAATTTTTTTTAGTGACAGTCTATCTGAAATGCATTTTTTCAAGGGTGATGAAGTAAGGTCTTATAATATTTTATTCGCATTTTAAAGCATAAAATACTAGGAGATCAAGTACTGTAGAAAGGTACAAGTTCAGCCTTGTGAGATGTCTATTATCTGTTCCAGATTTTATAAAACTTAGTCTTTTTGGATTAATAGTATTTAAATTGTTGTTACTTCCCCTTTGGATGATACATTTGAGCTTGTGAAAAAAATAATTTCAGGCATATTATTGTTTGAAATTTAGTTTACTGTAGTGGAAACCCTAACTAAATCTGAAATTTTTTCACTTCCCTGCAGTCTGGAGATTTTACTTCTCTCTAAATCAGTAAATGTTGATCAATGTTTCTTGTTTGTTTCTTATTCTTCAGTTTAATTTTTTCTTAAAAAATAAATTTCATTGCAAACAATTCAGGTGCACTGTGGATTTACCCACTACTAAATTTGTTTTATAACTAATGCCTGTGCATTAACATGGAATTTTTCATCAGTATGGGTGGTCTTTAATACTGTATTCACCCAAGTACCAGGTGCACCTTTTTTCTCAAATTTCAGAAGGAAAATAGGGGTGCGCGTCATAAGTAGGTTCAAATTTTTCAAGAAGTTTTAGGAAGTTGTGTGTGCATTATACTTAATTATAATGGAGAAATTTGGAACTAATGTAACAAGAAAACTTTTTTGGACTGAAAAAGTTGAAAATTGATCAGATTTTGTTCAATTCATGTCTAAAGTCAATTTTTTGTTTTTATTTTCAAAATTTTGTGGTTTCAGATTCACTAAAAATTGGGGTGCGTGTCTTACTTGAGGATAAGATTTTAGCCAAATTTCCAACTGAAAACCCCCTGTGCCCGCCTTACTTGAGGGCATGTGGTACTCAAGTAAATACCATAGATTGTTTTTTTCAATTCCGAAGTTTCCATTTGGTTAAAGTTGAGCCTGTTCTGCTGTGTGTATCAAGTATGTACAGGGTTCCCTTGGGATTTGACTGATGAGCATCATCCGGAAATTTTAGTTTCCGGGACATTCCCTCAAGACCAAACTGCGAGAGGTTTTTTTTTCTCGGCAAAAATCGCACCCCGCCTGAAGAAATCGGCGAACCTGTCAGCGCACTCAAGCGTTACCAGCCTTCATTACGTCAGTTTTCCTACATCATGGGCCTCCATATCAGCAGCAGCGCCAATTCAAAACATAACGGCGCGCATCTGAACAATGACTAATGGAAGATTTGAGACAAACGGATGTTGTCCATCCGCTGCGGAGTCATTCATGCACCTGCTGCTGCTGCTGCTGGCATCAGCATCAATAATAATAAGTCGACTCTCCCAACCGCCCCAACGATTACCCACTTTATTTTATTTATTTGCCACCAGAACCCTCTTATGTATTCCTGCGATATGACGCGACGCGTTCTTTTCCCGATTTCCGGCCCAGAATTCGGGGGTCCCGAGTACAGTATATAACAGCTTGGATAACCCATTCATCCTGTGGAACTGGGGAAAAACTGGGGGGTTTTCCTCCCCCAAAGTGGACCTAAGGCAATCATCTGTGAGATGGATGCGAACATTTTTTCATCACGCTTTTTCAGTGCCCTGAAAACAGCAAATGTGGTAAAATACCAGCATTGCGAGTATTTTATTTTTAACCAGCTATAGAGCTAAGAAAAATGGCCATTGTCCTATTTTGGAGGGTTTTGTGTGATCAGAAACACACAATTCACAAGCTATTATTGGCAAATGTTTGGTTCCTGGTGCATTTTTCAATTTCCATGGGCATTTGCTATCAAGCAAATTTAGTAGAGGATATGAAACCCTGCCCAAGTGGGGAAATTGGTGCACACTGGGGATAAGTTTGTGATTCTACACAGTGACCCTGCTGTGCACCTGAAGTGTACCAAAGTTTTTCTGTTGCACATGCGTAAAATTGTGTGTTCAAACCAGGATTCCTCAGGGTCACATTTGTAAACAAATAAGTTACACCAAGGTTACAGTTGGTGCATTTGTGTGATATTCCTGTTATGTCACATTTGTACATCAAATGTAGCCCAAGAATGGTAGCAAAATTTTGTCTATACAGAGGTGCATGCCTGTAACCCCAGAATAATCAATGTACACCAATTGTGACCTTGGTGTGCACCATTTTGTGGGGTCACACAAAGAATAGCTCTCCACTTGGGCAGTGATACCTGGATTGCTTGAAAGGGATTAATGTTTGAAGTAAATAAAAAGCTGAAGAATAAGGAAGAAACTGTCATTGACTGAAATTTACAGATGTAGAGAGAAGTAAAATCTCCAGACTGCAAGGAAGTGCAAAAGTGAAAAAATTCAAATTTAATTAGGGTTTCCACCTCATGGCAAATTTCAAACAACAATTTGTCTGGATTTATATTTTCATAGGATAAAAGTTATCCAAAAGGGAACTTTGGAAGGGGGAAAAACTTGTAAATATTCTATGGAAGACTACTGTTGTATGAAATCTGGGACAGATAGTAGACATATGATATAATGCTAGACTTTTACTTCTGAAGACTTGGTTTCTATACATATACTATGCTTAAAAATGCATGAACATCTTATTGAAAAAAATAATGGCAGATGGGCTGTCCCTACAAACAAACTCAAGGAGCCAGAAATAAATTGGTTGTACAGCGAATTTCACTGTAGAGAACCTAATACTGTAGCATGAAGAGAGAATCCTATGGGACATAAATCATTCGACAAAAATGTTCTTATAAAATTATTTAACAGAGAGCTCATCACCTGTATCATAAAGAAACAATTTAAATTCAAACTTTAAAGCATTGTTTCTATATTACTGCTGTATAGATATTTTCAATGGACTTATTGATGCACTCAAACAAAAATGCAAAATTATTTTTACTTTTCCAAAATACATGCAACATTGCATAGATCAAGTTGCTGCCAGCAGAACTAAGAGCAGTCTCAATTACAGTACTTTTTACTAACACAAATATAAATGTGAATAGCTTTAAAGTGTTATTCTGGTGAATGGAATTTCATGTTATGGACATTCCACTGGAATGCATCAAGTCCATTGTAACAGAGAGGGGGAAAAGATGCAAATGAAGGTGCATAGTCTGACAACTCACAATAGATTCCCACTGCATGATGCAAATAAGGAATTCAGCTGGTGGGAGAAAAACCATGTCATGAATGAGGAAACAGATTCGTCCCCCTCCCCTTTTATGCTGGGCATGTTGATCAGTTCTCATATACAGTATTATGAACCAAAAGATGGAGTTGCATAATTCCACCCGCATCCACAAAATGTCGCCCCACGTTCACTTCCTCCATGCTCCGCGTGATTGCGTAGGCTGGAGAATAATGTTATTCTTCACTCACTGGCTGATTGTTCAAAGGGCCGTGAATTAAAAGATAAAATAATCACCAGGAAACGAGGTATATAGTGTTATGGACTGGAAAGGTTTTAATATGATTTCACTTTTACACTCCAGTTCATCGTACACCGTATTATACAGTATATTTTCACTCCGGGGTTCTTCCGCGATCATGCACTAATTGAAGGGAGTCACTTACTCTCTTTTTGCCTTTCTATTTTCTGATTCATGAGTAACTCTTTTTTTTTAATAATGCAGTATTGAATGGATTTCTTCGTGATAGAGTGAGCTACTGTAGTTGAATTGAGACGAATTGAATAGTGTCAGGGCATGCAAATTTTGCTTTTCTAAAAAATGTTCTACGATCAGCATATGGATTCAATTTTGGTTGATCATATGTATTTGCCTAGTCTCTCGCTTTCTTCACAGGAAAATTATGCCGGGATGATCTGGAAATGATGAGTTTTGCCTCTTTACAATAGTTTAATTTAAAAATTCGAAAGTTTCATCATTTACTTCAAATTTTGGTCCAATTTTAGTTCTATTTTAACTTTTTGGTGGAATAATTAAGAATCAGCATGCTATGGTATTTATTTATGTGATTAAATTTACATAACTAGGTGCTTTTCTCCTTGGAGAAAATATTGTTGGGCTGTTTTTACACCTGTAAAAAAATGATCATGAGTCCTTTTTGCTTTTTTCTTATTACAGTAGTTACATGGCAACAACATCTTGAAGAAATAAGGAAGTATTCTGGTACACTTTTGCATATGTAGAACTCAGAGGGACCCAACACATTTTGTACTTCAACAGTTTTTTTTTAGCCAAGGAACTTGCAATTTTGTGGAAAAGATTATGCAGCCATTGCAGAAATTTAAATTAATTGTTATATTTTGGGCCTAAAATTGCTGCATAAATGAGTTGAGAGTATGCCAAACCAAATGAGAGCAAATAGTACATTTGCACAATTAGTCATCCACTTCCTCTTGAAAAGCAGCAGTTTTACATTTTCATTGCTCTTCTATTTCTTTGGCATGAAAAATTATAGGCCAAATAAATTCAAATTTTAGAACTTTTTGTTAGAGCTGATGCCAAAAGATCAGATTCTGTGCATTTTTATTTTGTAATTTTTTTTCTGTTTATTGCAGCTGACAAAAAATTTATTTTCTGTTCTGGGGACTGTATTCCTAATAATTTATGACCAGCAGTTGAACCAATTAAATATGCTCCTATTGAAGTCTATGGGAAAATTAGATCTGACATAAGGATGTTCCAACATATGGACAAGGTCACAGCACCAATTACATCCACATCTTGGAATCAAACTGCATTCTTAATGAAATTCAGGAAGGGACAAAAACATCAAATTTGACACATGAAAATATTTAAAAGCTTTGGGGATTTTTTTCCGTTACCAATAAAGGTAAAATACCAACTGATGTATACCATTTCTTATTTTTCAGCTTCCATCACTTTTCGTCCTGAAGAAGCATTCTTTATGGGACCAGAAGCGGGCAGCTGCAAATCTGCACGCAAAGCCCAACACCGCATCTGTCTTGAAATTATCGGTTTCGCCAACACCTGTACTTTTTGTCTTCCATTTTTTAAAAGTCCTGTCTTTTAATTCCCTGTGATTCGTCCGCGCCTCTCTCAAATGTTTCTTATGTCGGGATTCCTCTGCTGGGCCACAAATGACCATCACCCGCAACTGATGAGCGGGACACAAATTTCGGGTGGATGCCCTGGGGCTATCCGCGAAATTATATACGCACCCGTGCATGCAGGAGACATTATAACATTCCTTCATTCCACTGCAATGAATTCTGGGCTTTTTGTGTCTAACAGCTTCTGAAGCAATGGCGTTTTGCGCATTTTAAATTGGTGAATTTGAGGTTCTTTTTTTTTTTAGTGGCAGGCAGAATTATCCATAAAAAATAATTATCAGGTCTTTAATGTCCATTACTTGAGTTTAAAGTACCCAAAGGGAGTGATAGATGATGAAAGTACAGCTAGACCTCCCAAAGTCAAAGCCAAAACCAAAAGCTTGAAGGGATCCAAAAATAATGAATTGTTTTCTGGGAGTTTTTGAGTTAGGGAAATTGGAATTTTTTCAAGGTTCAGGCTCTTGCTGTTTAATAGACAAAGTTAAAACCAACTCAAAAAATTTTGGTACATACTACAGTATTTTGGAAAAAATGGAGTATTTTGGGTTCAATTGAATTATCAGTGAACTCATTGGGCTTTCTTGACTGGAGGACAAGATTGTGACCATGCAAGAAACCTGAAGACCAGAAAGGCTTTCCCATTTAAACTCATGGAAATTTCAAGTTGAGTAAACAAGCATATGTGTTGTGGGAAACATTCAAGAATTGCAGGCAATTGTAAATGGGGATATTCTGGGCTTTACATTTCTTTTTAAATGTGTTGACAGGATGCTGAACTTGGATGCAGGGGTTCAATTGCTCAATTAGTCTTGTACTTCCTTTCACAACACAGTTTTACTTTTTGTGTGTCAAGAAAATGATAGCCAAAAGGCCTAAAAAACATTAAGCTATGGAGGTTTGAGAGGAAAAGCCTTCAAGTGAGAGAGGTTTTTTACACATTGTTTTGTAAGAAAATTCAGACCGGTACTTGGAAAAAGTCAACTTGAAAAGGTTTTTTACTTAGGAAAGTTCAAGTTATCAATATTCAATTGTATATCAATAAGACAATCTACCATCAAGTCATATACACATATGGAATAATGGTGCACCAGTAAGGAAAAATTAATGTATGTGAATGCTGGGCTGCATATAAAAATAGTGCATTTCACAGTAACATTTGGAATCATTAATGTATTATATGTCTGTCCCAACATTGATGACAAATGCATTTTTGTTCAGGAACACTAGCTTATGTGTGCAACATTATTGGATCACAGAAGACCCACCAAATGTTGTGGTGACACGCGGCTGGAATGGGGTTCCCTCTGGTGGCGCCACGCTCAATTATCGGGATTAACAGGATTGCGCAGTAATGCAGCGGTCCGTTAGTGCTTTTGTTCATGCAATGAAACGCACTATTGCAACAGGGATTGCATGAAAGAGACAGAATAAATCGTTGCAGAAGTTTGGGTTCATTAATCTGGGTTCATGGTTCTTATTTAGACAAGCTTGCAGGTCACCTCTTGTGTGTCATAAGATATACACATTTGGCTCACTTATTGGACATTAAGTCTATTTTGATTTTATAACTAAAATAGCAAACTAGACTTGATGGTTATGAATAATAACTGATGTGCAGTACTTGTTTTTATCATTAAATAATTCTTGAATGTTGTACCGGTGGTACCTTGCAATTCAGCCATCTTGTAATTTGTTGGTCAAATTTGCATGGAGTTTCACTGGCAATTTGACCTGTGTTCTGGAATTCAACCTGCTCTGGCCACTTTTTTTGCATTTTGTGCTATTGTTTCTCAATTTTACAAATTGTCTTACAATTTGACCCTATAGTCCAGCAATGGGTTAGGGTTGAATTACATGTAGTACCACCTGTATCTACCTTACAATAATGGTTCTGGATGTTTTTCTTTCACTNAATGAGTTGAGAGTATGCCAAACCAAATGAGAGCAAATAGTACATTTGCACAATTAGTCATCCACTTCCTCTTGAAAAGCAGCAGTTTTACATTTTCATTGCTCTTCTGTTTCTTTGGCCAGAAAAACTATAGGCCAAAGAAATTCAAACTTTAGAACTTTTTGTCAGAGCTGATGCCAAAAGATCAGATTCTGTGCATTTTTATTTTGTAATTTTTTTTCTGTTTATTGCAGCTGACAAAAAATTTATTTTCTGTTCTGGGGACTGTATTCCTAATAATTTATGACCAGCAGTTGAACCAAATAAATATGCTCCTATTGAAGTCTATGGGAAAATTAGATCTGACATGAGGATGTTCCAACATATGGACAAGGTCACAGCACCAATTACGTCCACATCTTGGAATCAAACTGCATTCTTAATGAAATTCAGGAAGGGACAAAAACATCAAATTTGACACATAAAAATATTTAAAAGCTTTGGGGATTTTTTGCGTTACCAATAAAGGTAAAATACCAACTGATGTATACCATTTCTTATTTTTCAGCTTCCATCACTTTTCGTCTGAAGAAGCATTCTTTATGGGACCAGAAGCGCGCAGCTGCAAATCTGCACGCAAAGCCCAACACCGCATCTGTCTTGAAATTATCGGTTTCGCCAACACCTGTACTTTTTGTCTTCCATTTTTTTAAAGTCCTGTCTTTTAATTCCCTGCGATTCTTCCGCGCCTCTCTCAAATGTTTCTTATGTCGGGATTCCTCTGCTGGGCCACAAATGACCATCACCCGCAACTGATGAGCGGGACACCAATTTCGGGTGGATGCCCTGGGGCTATCCGCGAAATTACATACGCACCCGTGCATGCAGGAGATATTATAGCATTCCTTCATTCCACTGCAATGAATTCTGGGCTTTTTGTGTCTAACAGCGTCTGAAGCAATGGCGTTTTGCGCATTTTAAATTGGTGCATTTGAGGTTCTTTTTTTTTTTTGAGTGGCAGGCAGAATTATCCATAAAAAATAATTATCAGGTCTTTAATGTCCATTACTTGAGTTTAAAGTACCCAAAGGGAGTGATGGATGATGTAAGTACAGCTGGACCTCCCAAAGTCAAAGCCAAAACCAAAAGCTTGAAGGGATCCACAAAAATGAATTGTCTTTGGGAGTTTTTGAGTTAGGGAAATTGGAATTTTTTCAAAGGTTCAGGCTCTAGCTGTTTCATAGACAAAGTTAAAACCAACTCAAAAAAGTTTGGTACATTCTTCAGTATTTTGGAAAAATGGAGTATTTTGGGTTCAATTGAATTATCAGTGAACTCATTGAGCTTTCTTGACTGGAGGACAAGATTGTGACCATGGAAGAAACCTGAAGACCAGAAAGGCTTTCCCATGAAGGACTTATGGAGGCTTCAAGTTAGGTAAACAAGCATATTTGTTGTGGGAAATATTGAAGAATTGCAGGAAATTGTGAATGGGGATATTCTGGGCTTTACATTTCTTTTTAAATGAGTTGACAGGATGCTGAACTTCAGTATGCAGGGGTTCATTTGCTCAATTAGTCTTGTACCTCCTTTCACAACACATTTTTACTTTTTGTGTGTCAAGAAAATGATAGCCAAAAGGCCTAAAAAACATTAAGCTATGGAGGTTTGAGAGGAAAAGCCTACAAGTGAGAGAGGGTTTTTTACACATTGTTTTGTAAGAAAATTCAGACCGGTACTTGGAAAAAGTCAACTTGAAAAGGTTTTTTTACTTAGGAAAGTTAGAGTTATCTATATTCAATTGTATATCAATAAGACAATCTACCATCAAGTCATATACACATTTGGAATAATGGTGCACCAGTAAGGAAAAATTACAGTATGTGAATGCTGGGCTGCATATAAAAATAGTGCATTTCACAGTAACATTTGGAATCATTTATGTATCATATGTCTGTCCCAACATTCATGACAAATTGTATTTTTGTTCAGGAACACTAGCTTATGTGTGCAACATTATTGGATCACAGAAGACCCACCAAATGTTGTGGTGACACGCGGCTGGAATGGGGTTCCCTCTGGTGGCGCCACGCTCAATTATCGGGATTAACAGGATTGCGCAGTAATGCAGCGGTCCGTTAGTGCTTTTGTTCATGCAATGAAACGCACTATTGCAACAGGGATTGCATGAAAGAGACTGAATAAATCGTTGCAGAAGTTTGGGCTCATTAATCTGGGTTCATGGTTCTTATTTAGACAAGCTTGCAGGTCACCTGTTGTGTGTCATAAGATATACACATTTGGCTCACTTATTGGACATTAAGTCTATTTTGATTTCATAACTAAAATAGCAAACTAGACTTGATGGATATGAATAATAACTGATGTGCAGTAATGTACTTGTTTTTATCATTAAATAATTCTTGAATGTTGTACCGGTGGTACCTTGCAATTCAACCATTTTGTAATTTGTTGGTCAAATTTGCATGGAGTTTCACTGGCAATTTGACCTGTGTTCTGGAATTCAACCTGCTCTGGCCACTTTTTTTGCATTTTGTGCTATTGTTTCTCAATTTTACAAATTGTCTTACAATTTGACCCTATAGTCCAGCAATGGGTTAGGGTTGAATTACATGTAGTACCACCTGTATCTACCTTACAATAATGGTTCTGGATGTTTTTCTTTCACTCTTTGATGTCTTTATAAACTAAATCTGGTTTATTCATTTGAAATATATCAAGACTTATCTCATCCTGAAGGAATTTAATTTAAAGTTGGTGTGTCTGTCATTTTAAAAAATTGTGTGCATATTTGATTAATTTATAATGATGCTTTTGTGCTGCTTGTCAGTGTTCACAAAGTTCAAAACATGTTGCTCTATATCATCTACTTAGCTCTGACACACATACACACAAATCCATTCAAAAATGAAAATAGGAACACAGTACACACAAATGAATGAATTCTTTGATTGGCACCTTTTGTTACAAATTTTTTTTTTACAAAATATGGTCAATTATTGACCACAATTTAAAGCACAAGGTATTCAGCCTGTTCCCGGATTATTACAACTTGGTTGAACAATTTAGAAAGAATCTTTGAGGAGAAATTCCATTGGGCTAACTATTTTCCCTGGCCCTTGCAGAGAAAAAAAATTTTGGTTTTCATATTAAATGTGAAAAATGTAAAGTTGTATCTTACATTCAATAAAACTGTAATCTTCATTGCAATAAATGTGGTGAACTGTCAAATTATATAAAGCTAACTGGAACTTTTGAAAAACTGAGGCACATATGCAGCAGTCTTTTTTTGGGGGGGGGGGGGGGCTAATTTTGTGTGAGATCCGTGACAGGAAAAAGGGGAGCCAGTTTCATTTGCTCATCGCACTTATAACAACTTGTTTCAGATTCCCCCCCCCCCTACTGATGGACGCCATCTGGATTATAGCTCATACCGGGAATGGACCTTTTGGACACCAGGTGGTCCATGAATCCCGCTGGTCAGGTGTGTTGCCAAATCCAGTTTCCTTGACATTCCTTTTCCTGGAGCATCTCTGCCTTCTTTCTTATTCCACCCATCTTCTGATGCAAAAAGTTGAATCTCTCTGGACAACAATAAGGGAGCATCTAGATTTTTACCCAGACATTTCAGGAAAACCTTGATGTACTGGGTGCAGTGCTTGAGGAAAATTGGAGTTTCAAGGATCCAAGAGAGAATGAATTAATGAATACACTGGGAAATTTTCAGTACTGGTATATTTTCAAGTTCCTTGGAAATGTGAAAAATGCATGAATTTTTCATCAACATGTTTCACTCACTCAAATACCATAAATATTATTTCAATGATATAAATGTCTATAAAGGTTGTCCGCAGAAAAAAACTAGATTGTTCACAATTTTAAGAAAAAATTATTTCCTTCTCTCAAAAAAAGGCAGCAAAAATGTGAAACTAAACCTCATGCAGTATGGGCTAAACAGAATATCTTGAGGATAGGTGTTGGTAATATAATTCTTGAAGCCAAATCACAAAGAGCTTTATAATGGAAATATGAAATATATTTCCCTATAGGGTTATGGAGACAGAGAACTTAAATAAGCTCTGTGAACTTTTCTTAAGCAAAACATTCTCCAACTTGAAAATATCACCTTGCTTTGGGCAACAATGTGCATGCAGGCGGCTATCTGAAGAGTAATTGCTATTTTGAACTCAGAAACTGTTGTTCCATCTTTCAAATCCCACTTAGCAAAAATCTGAGACACTATATTGCTAATATGCTGTAGTATTCTTCAATGCTGCTTTTTTTTATAAAAATTCAAAGTACAAGTGGACTCTCTCTCTCCACAGCAGTGATCTTCTCTGAAAAAAAATTTGGCAATTTCACAGTGTTCTATGACAAAATTCTGTATTAGAATCACCAGTAATTTTTTTTCTTTCACCTCAGCAGTTTTTGAGGGAAAACTGCCGGTCCTATGAATGAATGAATGAATGAACAGAACACTTTATTTGTCGCTTTTCAGCATTCACAAGGTTCACTCAAGATTTCCA